TGTAAAACACCCAAATGTAAAAGATTAATATCTGTATTTTAAAAATACATTATATTTACCAACACTTTTTTTTAATAAGGGAACTATCCTCAATGACATTCTTCTGGCTTTTGATATATTAAAAAAAATTGCAAGTCTTTTTGGACTGTTTTGCTCAGTAATAAAAATATGGATTTATGGTGGATAAAGAGTAAATTCTTTGAATCGATCCTGGCTTATAATAACTATATGTGCATGTTTATGTAGTTGTCTTGGTAACAATACAAAAATGGTTTGCCCTTATACGCTCTAGTCTCATATAACTCTAAATCACCTAATTCCTCATGAATTCACATTTAAGTATTAAGCAGATCCCATTATACTCTGTTTAGCTTTTATTAGCCGCAATGTTACATATTGTTATCTACAGTGACAAATATATACACTCCTATGCATTGGCTATTGTGTATACCCAGAATGTATAAAATTATTTTGGCTAGATTCCCTAAATTGTAAGATTACAACATCCAATTAAGCAATACAGGTAGTTGTCACCTTATAACTGTAATTGAGCCAGGCAATTATAGTCATAAGTTGTGATGGTCATAAAGCGGGTCATTACATGACCCAAAGCATTTTTTTTACAGTCTTTTTTGTGGCAATCGTTAAACAAACCACAGCGGTTGCTAAGTGAACCCATTGTTTGCTATGGGATGGTTTTTACCAGAAATTGGAAGTAAATGCTAGTTCCGGCAAAAATGTCATAAATTATGGTCACAGGACCGCGTTTACAAACAGCTGTAAACACTGGAAAGTTGCTGAGCAACCAAAATGTGATCACATGACCGGGGGGATTGGTGTCAGAATTTCAAAAAAGGGTCATGTCCCTTGTGGAATGGGCCGTTATAACTCCGAATGGTCGCTAAGCAATGGAATACCCGTAATAAACTAAATTCTGGAAATATGGATAGAATATGCCATTTTCTTCTGGATAATATCATGTGATGACTTCAAAATCCCATGCAATGGGATTAATAATTCACAGGAAGGTCCCCATTTCATATTTTCTGAAAAAACATGTGGAGAGTGAGGATTTGGGGGGGGGGGTAACACGACCCTCATTTTTCTGTGAAAATGGTTGAAAGGAAAATATCTCTTTCTGTATATTACAAAAAAAACCCAAAAACCCTTGCATTATAGCATTTTGTGAGCCAGGCACATAGCATTCTGACAGGCCAGCAAATTGAACTGCTAAGAACTATTATTATTATTATTTCAGTGGAAAAGGGATTTTGACTTACTTACTAATAATTCAGCATGAAGATCAAGAATAGATATTCATCTCAAATTTAAATATTTAACATTTTCACAAGCTGGCGACTACAAGAAAATGCATTACATTTAGATGGGATTTAATCTTTGACATGAAACTGATATTTGCATAGGGTGACAAATATCAAACTGACATTATGCTGCCTCATTTGATGACTTCCAAATGTCATAGTGCAGGAACTTACGCACAGGGACCTCAGTATTTTTAGATAGTGTCAGTTTAAAAGACATTTACATTGACTGGGTTTAAAAAATATTGAAATGTATTTTTTTTTTTAAAAAAAAACAAAAACCCAAAGGACAGAAAGGAAAAGCAGGAATGCAACAGTAGAAAAGTTTGTTGTGAAAGCTTCAATTCTTTTTTATACAGAAGACTTTTACCGCTTGTGTTTTCTGTTGGTTTACAAACATAATTCTACTTTCTCCTACATTAACTTCTGGATTGTTCGTCTGACACAGAAAGAACTTTTGTTATCTTTACCTTCCCCCTGTCCAAGTACTGTAGTCCATATTGATGTATCACTCTTACTCTGATGTATCACCCCTTAAACAGGATTTCGGAGCTCCAGTTCCTGCATATTTTTATTTATATATGTATGCAACACCGCCATCCTGTTCCATTTGAGTAATTGTATTTTTATAGTGTTATGTGCCAATTGTGACTCATTTCACCAAGTTTCAGTGGCGCCTATCATGTTGCATTTGTGGGGATGCTGCAACTATTGTAAATACATACCAGTTGCCTGAATTTTGATCACGTGACCATGGCGATGCTCCGAAAGTCACATGTAAAAGGACTGTAAGTCACGTTTTTCAGTGCCATTGTAATTTTGAAGTGTCACTAACTGAATGGTTATAAATTGAGGACTACCTGTTCATACATTTCTTTCAGAATAAAAGAAAAGGAATAAATTGGTTTGAGATGTGTTTGAATATTAGTAGCTCGGGTTGGTAGTTGGCTGTTGGTTTGATATCCGAGCTTGGCAATTTGGCCGCAAACATTTCGTCTCCATTCGGAGGGACATCTTCAGTGTGCTTTGAATTGTGCTCGTCTGTCACAGCACTGGCCTTTAAATTAGTGTGGGTGTGATTTGTCCAGATGTTTCTGAGTCATGGTCTGGTTTCGGGCTGTTTGGTTGTCTGGTTGTTGTTGCTGGGCCATATTCCTTGGTGTTTTAAGTATCGTCTGTGTGATGCAAATGATGTTTGTTCGCTTGGTTGCCTCTGAGTCATGGTCTGGTTTCGGGTTGTTTCTTTGGTTGGCTGTTGTTGTCGGGACGTGGTCTGGTTTCTTGTGGGGGGTTGTGATTTTTGCTGTGTGGTGGGGTGCCTGTTTGTTCATTTTAAATGCTGCCTTCAAGATTGCAGTTGAAGTAGTTCTTCGTTCTCAGTGGTTGGTAGATTGGGTCGATGTCAATGTTTATTGATTTATTGGTGGAGAACCAGGCTTTGAGGAATTCTCTTTCTCTCCTTGATTTTGCTTGAGTTGCAACTGTGGTCCCGGATAGATCAAAATTGTGTCCGTCTGAGTCTTTGTGGACGGACATGAGGGATAGTGGGTTGTGTCTTTTGATAGCCAAGGAGTGTTGTGCAGTCTGGTAGATAGCTTTCTTCCTGCTTGGCCCGCATAGTTTTTTTCACAATTGCTGCACTGGATTTGGTATAAGGCACCTGATCTTTGGTTTGTTTCTGTCTGCTCCTTAGGTTTTAACAGGGTCCATCTGAGAGTTGAGGCTGGTTTGTGGGCTACTACGAGATCATGTTGGCGTAGTAGTCTTGCTGTCATCTCTGAAACATTCTGTACGTAGGGAATTGTGATTCGTCCGGTCGTTGTTGTTCCTGTTGTAGTTTTTGTGTTGCTTTGGGTGTTTGTATTGTTTGTGTGTAGGGATCTCCGGATGAAGTTTCATTTGTATCCTTTTATCTCGAAGATTTTGTATTAATGTTTTTGTTCTGCTGATCTGGCTTCCGTGATGTTACAATGTGATTCTGCTCTTCTAATTTGGCTTTTGTGGTCTCTGGGCAACCTCACCGATGAGTACTACATTTGTGAAAATATCTTTCAAGCCCAATCTTTGTAACAGTCCTGCCTGAATTGTCCAAGATGAAGGATGCGAAAGATGAAAACATCTTTATGATCCTTTCCAACAATTGGTAATTTAACAACAACATAACAAATTGTTCAAAGATTCTTATACAGTTTTAAATGTAAAAAAAGGCAGTGATTGTTAATGCATCAAACTTGTTTCACTCAGAGTGTTAATAATAGCATATTTCAAGACACCACATATGACTATTTATTTTTATCTTGCCTTTATTATTTTTATAAATAACTCAAGGTGAAAAACATACCTAATCCTCCTTTCTCCTCCTACTTTTTCCCACAGCAACCCTGCGAGGCGGATTGGGTTGAGAGAGAGAGACTTTATGCAGGGGATTATTTAGTTGATGCATTAACAATACTTCATGAACATTATCCTTTTAATTTCCCCTCTTCCCAGCAACCGGTAGCTCTAGGTTCAGCCTGCTTCTTCATCCAACAGAATGAGGCTAGTTTTCTGCAACAGCCCTGTGAGGTAGGTCTGGACCAGGGAAAGCCAAGTTTTAAAGAAAGATCACCTACTTTGCATAGCTGAAACCTGAACATATCTCATGTTCTAATCCTATTATTCTAAGTAGTGTTCCAGCCTCCCCACCCCCAAAGATAGGTAGGATTACAATGTCCATAATCCAGCTGCACTGGACGTTGGAAATGATGAATGTTATGGAATGTTGTCCAACACCTCTCATGGACCTCGTTAGGAGTTGCTGAAAGAAAGAATACAGATAGTCCTCAACTTTTGACAATTGAGCCCAACATTTTTGTTGTTAAGTGAGAATGAGGATGCTGCAACAGTCCTAAGTGTCAAAAATGGTCAGGAGTCACTTTTTTCAGTACTGTTGTAACTTTGAATAGTCACTAAATGAACTGTTGTTAAGCCGAGGACTCCCTGTAAAGATACTGATGCACTAAAGCAGTGTTTCTCAAACTTATTTATTCATTTGTTTATAACTCGCCTTTATTATGTTTACAAATAACTCAAAGTGGAACACACACACAATACTCCTTTCTCTTCCTATTTTCTCTACAACAACTCTGTGAGCTGGGTTGGGTTAAAATTAGAATCAGAAAAGAGCTGGAAGTCTCTTTTGGAGGTCTTTTAGTCCAGCCCCCTGCTCAAACAGGAGTTCCTATATACCATTTCAGACAAGTGACTATCCAGTCTCTTCTTAAAAAACCTCTAGTGATGAAGCAAGTGACAGACCCAAGATCACCTAGCCCACTTTCATGGCTAAAGCAGAACTTGAAATTAGTCTCCCACTCTCTATCCTGGTGCCAGCTAGACAAAACGTTAGGATCCGTAGACTTCTGTAAAACATATAATCCATATTCGTCTCATCTCTTCCGTGTGGACATTATCAGTGGGGATTAACGAGCTCCATTTGCAATCTGCGGTTGTTTTTTTGCAACGCGGGACTCGATCCTCCGCCGCAGCCGTTTGAAACAGCCTCTCCCGTTCCGGCTGCCGAGCACTGAGGTAGCGCATCGCCCCCTGGTGGGGGATATGCTTTATTTTCTCTCCACTCTGGGTTTTCTGCGGGCGGAAGTGCTGCTCTCGCCCTGTGGCTTGGAGAAGTCGCTATTTGCCATGTCGGCGTTAGCTTTGGAGGAGCTGTCTGCCATTGCTGCTATTTACTGTGGGCGAGAGGAATGCGAGGTGCTGGAAGTGTCAGGTGATTGCTTTGCCATGGTGGCCTCTGGCTATTTCGTCGCCGCCGCCTTTTACCTGGAGCCTAATCGTGGCATGGCAAACCTCTGCTTTTGTCTCGAGGAAAAAAAGGCAGGGGCTCCCCTAAAACAAGGCTCCCCATCAGGGGCTCCCAGATATTGTGGCTGGTGATATTCCTGCCCCATCTGCAATACAGGCTGGGAATGTGGGAGGCCCAGTTAGGGAAACCTCCCCACAAGAGCCACATCAGTAGCTGCATCCAGCTTTGCATTTTTCAAATATAGTTTGTTTGTTTTTATTCCCAAACGTGCTCCCCATTTCTCCCTATAATTGGCATGTAATTCTTTATATGGTAGGTTATTTGAATCCCCCTGAAGAATCAATGATTTGAAGCTGACGGAGCTCCAGGTTTTTAGCCAGATTCTTTTCTTTGTACTTGACTCTCACCCATTTAGAAAGGAGAGAGTAGTTGAAATTATATAGGTTCAATAGAAACTCTAGGACATATCCTGTTACATTGCTCCTGATATGAGAACTCTAGACAGACCCTTACATACTCTGGCTTGAAGAAATTCCCAGATAGAGAGTGTGATTTCTATTTAATGATGCTACTTAACGGTTCTATTTAATGGCGCTATTGTCAGACAAGGACAAGAAAATAACCTTCAAGTCTCCCAATTCTCCTCCGTACCATTACTTAGGGCTGGAACTTCTTATAATAGTATTTTATTTGGATTTATTTTAGTAGCTATGCTCTTAATTATTTTTAGACTCTGTTATATGCTGTTTTTCTCTTACGCAGAAAGACATCATACTACTTTTATTCAATGTTTTGTTTGTATCTGGCATTAGGGCTGCAAAAAATGAATTGAATTGATTTATATAAGAGAGGGTCACATCTCCCCATGGATAGCAGGATTGCCTTCTGGGGTGGAAGGAGTGAGATTTCTAAAAGTAGTAAAGCTGTTGCTCTGCTTTTACACCCTCCTTCTAGTCAATGGCTTTTTAAAATTGGAATCGTTGGTGCTACAGTTTGACACTGATGGATTTGCAGTGTTGAGCATAGGACTCCACCATTGGAAAGACTGCGTGTGATCAACTATGATAGTCCTTATTTAGTGACTACAGTTGGGACCAGCTACCGTTAAGCAAAGCAATCTCTAAGTGAAAGTGTGACTATAGCTATGATCTTACTTCTGCTTTCTAGACAGACCTGTGAGGAATGTTCGCGACGGTCGTAACTGCAAACAGTTGCTAGACAAGGTGATCAATAAATGAGGACTACTTGAATTGTGTTTATAAAATATTTTTGGTGATAGTGCTCTTAGAGTTAGAATGTAAGAGATACATAATCTGTACAGTATTATATTTTATGAAGAATTTTTTGTCCAAAGTTTGCCAGAAGCCACCTCAGTTGATGCTGTCGTTTTCAATAAAATGCATGCCTGTTAGGAGGACCCTTTCTCCCCCCCTTATGTGTGTTTCTGCAGTTTTCTAAACTATCCTAGCAGTTGCCCTGCCTTTATTGGTTTTATTATTTATTAAGCATATTTTGCTTAATAAAGACTGCCAAAATTGAGACTACTCTCTGTGGCTTACATAGGTAAAAATACAACCTAAAACATCCCAGTACAAAAAACTAAAATATAGCAGCCGTACAACAATACAAATAAAATAGAATAAAAAAAGATGGTAACAGCAGATCAAATGAAATCAGGGGAATCTTAAGGATCAAGCCATGACTGGCATTGTCAAACCTCATTTGGCTGTTTCAGACCAGTTTTTGATCAGGAGGCTAAGTTGTGAAAAATATTTTGGAAACATCCTCAGCTCCTTCATCTTTTTTTTGTTTTCCCTATAAAAAGTCTATACACCCCTATTAAAATGCCAGGTTTTGAGATGTAACGTTATTCTAATTTTTTATTGTTTTTTTTTTCATCCTAAAAGATTTCAGTTTTTCAATTGAATTGTACATCTTATATGTTATATAAAAGGAGGAAAAAATTCTGAAGTGATTCATCTTGGCCTGATTTTTCTTTTACATCTCAAAAACCTGCCATTTTAACAGGGCTATCCTGTAGCTTGCATCTTTTATGTCAAGCAAGAAGTAATACCAGTTTCCTCTGAGATATGTCTTCTCGCCGTTTTTTCCCTCTGTCTCCTTAGCATGGGGATAAATTACTCGATGTAAACTTTATTTATTTCCCCTGCTCTCAGCTCAAGCGTCTGTAAACATGTAAAATGTTCCCATCTTGTTCCCTTTCCTCTTGTAAGCATTGCCCTTCCACCCTGCCTATCTGTCAACACCTGCTGGTAAGCTGAACCAAGCAGTCTCCTTTGCTGCCAGTAGCCACTGAAAGCCCCAAGACTGCTCTACAAGAGTTTACCACCAGACTGCTAAATATCACTAATGCCCATTAAATATGCATTCTGATATATTGCAAACAAAAAACAAAAAAACACACACACCTTAGCTTCTTTAGTCTGGGATGCTATTGGTGTAATTTCTGTCAGAATTTTGTTTGCATGGTACAGATATTTTTAAATATATTTGTGAGATGCTCCAAGGCCTGTTATAGGTTATAGTGAAATAGTGTCGACCAGGGGTAGGCAACCTTGGCTCTTTTATGACTCGTGGACTTCAACTCCCAGAATTCCTGAGCCAGCCATGCTGGCTCAGGAATTTTGGGAGTTGAAGTCCACGAGTCATAAAAGAGCCAAGGTTGCCTACCCCTGGTCTATATAAAGAAACTTATTTAAGTAACAACAAGATCTCAATTTCGATGGGGGGGGGGAGCTCAGAAAAAGTGATCATTGCCCCACTGGCCTCAGCGGCTGGTTGACATTGTCTGGATTTAAGCTAAGCAGCTTAATTAGACTTTGGATAGGAGGCAACCAGGTCCTGTGGTTGCAAACCACCTCCATCCTGATGCCAAGAAGACTGCATGGATTCATTCATAAAACCTCTAGAAGTCAAGCTTGACGTGAAGGACGTTTTATTTTCTTGAGGGTGTTTTCTCTATTTGAGATTTTGGCAAAAACTTAGGTTTGGTGTTTTGCAGAAAATGAACGTTCTCCCTGGTGGTTTTGAGTGGATAATGAAGACTATGGGCAAAAGACCTTTGGAATCTCTGGAATCTACTTGGCCTGAAATCCCCCAGTGCTATCAGTTGAAAATGACCCTGCAGATAGGAATGTAAACTTCTTCAGGTGCTCTCTTTAGTTGCTAAAATAGAGAATTGATAGTGTCAACTCTTCAGAGGAGGCCTAAACACCACCAGCTGTACTCTGACATCTCTTTTCTGAGAGAAGCTATCTAATCAGATCAGCCAAGGATATTTTGGTGCCACCTTTATATTGCAATGGACCCAGAAAAATTGGTTTCATCCAAGCGTGCTGGAGTAGAACAACAGCCCTTAAGCATCCTGTCTAACTCCTCAAGGTTTATTTATGAAAGATGTTCTCCTGCAACTGGATCAGAAAGAGTTTTTGGATGCTTCAGTAGAAGCTGCTCTTAATGTTGATACCACTGTCAGCACATATGAGTGAATATGAGCCTAACAAATTAAGCCTGGAAAGTTCTAAATAGTTCTGATGCCTCTCTCTTGAGGTGTAGTTAAAATAAATCTTTTATCGCTGAAAGGGCTCCACTGAATGGTTACTTGATGCAGTGGTGTAGAGAATGAATTTCATATGTCTAGGAAAACTATCCTTGAAAACAGACAGTTTGAAAACCACTGATGTGCAACATATTGTGACAGTTTATCTAGGTGTGCCTCTGTATTGCAGGCACTCACATACTCCTCACCAGTTATTCTAAGTATCTAATTTTATTCTGTTTGCATTTGTATTAGCAGGGGCAAATTCCATTCAGCATCTTTTTCCTGACAGTTTTAGAAAGTCCTGCATCTCTACCATTGGCAGCTTTTGACACAGCTGATTCTAATGGGTGTCATATTTCTGTCACCATTTTTAAAAAAATCTTCAACTGAAGATGGGTGACTTTGATGGGTGGAGTGAATGATGCTAGTCAGAACTGGCTTGCTAAAAGGGAACTGGAAATCTGCAATAGTAATTTTTTTTCTCTTCCAAGTATAAGTTCTAAAGATTGAAAAAAGAAGGAAAAAGTAAATAATACAGTGTTCATTTCTTACCCTGGCTATTTGATTATTAAAGTGAGGCTTTAATGTACTTTATATTGATCATGTCTCATATTTCTTAGCTGATCAAAACACATTTTGTAAATAGTCCTTTATCAGGGGTAGGCAACCTCGGCTCTTTTATGACTCATGGACTTCAACTCCCAGAATTCCTGAGCCAGCATGGCTGGCTCAGGAATTCTGGAAGTTGAAGTCCATGAGTCATAAAAGAGCCGAGGTTGCCTACCCCTGGATGTGATACTAATCATATGGCGAGCAATCATGTCACTTAAAGAAATACATGTTTAATTATTTAATTGAATACTATAGTTACCTTTTTCCTTCCAAGCCAACACATTAAACTGGCATCTAATTTTGCTAAGATGATAATTGGGAGGGAAGTGCTGCAATGCCAGTGATTCTCCCAACCCAGCATCTCTAGATTTGGCACTTACATGATGTGATTGTTCATTTATATCCTGTTTACAGCTAGTCCTTGACTTACAACCACAATTGAGCCGAAAATTAATGTTGCTAAGTAAGGCAGTTAAATGAACCATGCCCCGTATTATGATCTTTTTATCATGGTTATTAAGTGAAACACATAGCGAGTCTCGTTTCCCCCATTGACTTGCTAGGAGGCCTACTATTGTTGCTCATCATCATCATTTGGATTGTTGCATTGCACCAGACATGCTCTTGAATACCACTTAGAAACTTGATCAGGTCCAGAATGAACTAGCTTAAGTAGTTATGAAAGTCAGTTGGTTTACCTATGTAGCACCTCTACTTTGAGAACTGCACCAGTTACCATTATAGTTCAGGATCCAATTCAAGACACAAGACACTAATTGTCTTTAAACTA